AATTGGATGCAATACTCCAGCTGTGGCCTCACCAAGGCCGAGTACAGAGGAAGGATGACGTCCTGGGTCTTGCTCGAGATGCATTGGTAGATGCAGGCCAGAGTTCTGTTGGCTTTGCCAGCTGCAGCATCACACTGGTAGCTCAAATTCATCTTGTGGTCAATCATGTCTCTTTTGGTCATGGTGCTAGCAAGCACTGCTAAGCCTATAAATGTGATGAAGGTTTTTATTCCTGAGGTGGAGCACCTTGCATTTCTCCATATTGAATGCCATCAGGTTTTCATCCACCCACCCATCAAAGTTAGACTTGATCACCAGCCTATCCTCAAGTGTGGAGACTCTTCCTCAAAGTTTGCTGTCGTCAGTGAACTTGGCCAGTCCGCTTTTGACTCCAGTGTCCAGATCGTTTATGAAGACATTAAAGAGTACAGGTCTGAGAATGGAGCCTTGGGGTTCACCACTAGTCATCGAATGCCATGTTGATTTGGCTCCATCAACTACCACTCTCTGGGTCCAACCTCAGAGCCAGTTCCCCAGCCATCAGACTGTGGAATAGTCAAGGCCAAAGTCGCCCAATTTTTCCATGAGGTCAACATACGACACCAAGACAAAGGTTTTTTAAAGTCCAAATATATGACATCAACCTCTTTCCTTTTGTCTTTGATTGTTATTTATATGCATTCAGCAGTAATCATTTTTTTCTTTTTTTTCTACAGTCCAGGATGAGAAGGCAGCACATATTCAGTGCTGAAGCCTTGCACAGGTAACCGGGGATGACAGCGACACATCCACTGATGAAATCTTATTCCAAGGCAGTGAGGATGCTGACTTTGTTCCAGATGTAGGAGACTGGCCATGTGTCTACAGGCCATGTGTCTATGGACGCTTCATCCAGCTCAGATGAGGAGGACTTGGTGCCACAAGCAGAAGTGATGCCAACACTTCCAGTGGGAAAGGGAAGAGGACCAGCCCAGGGCTGCCATGGAGAGCTACAGCAGGACCAAGGACAGCTACAGCAGGACATGGAGCAGAACCACTGACGTCACCCTTTATCGTTACTGGAATTGAAACAGTCACCTGTTGTGGAGATCTTCCTCAAATTATCAATATAAGTACAGATCTGGAATATTTTTCTTCTGAAAAGAGATGCCAATGCTGCAAATTATGTGCAGGAGGACCACCAAAAGACAGAACCCTAAACTAGTAGCAGGATTTTCCTATCAGGAATGTAAATTATTTCCTGTGGGTTGAAACAGCATGGGATACTTTTTATAATTTCCAGGATACAACAGTTGAACATAATAGCCCGAACTACTGGTACTTAAAAAATAAAAGAGGTTGTTTTTAAAAGGGGAGAATAGTTGGAATAAAAAGAGATCCTGGGGAGGTCTTATCAGCATCTCGGTCCTGACATTAAACTTACTTCCTGGTAGATGTCTTGACTGTGGTACAGCAGAAAAGGAGACAGAGATTCCATCATAGAATCACCCTTGAATCCTTTTGAAAGTGGATAGTATGATCTGGCATACACTTACTAGCCATGGGTTTTCTGTGATTAAATTTTTGGGATTTACTCAGCATCTCATGTATGCCTGAGTAATTTATGGGAAATGTGCAGCATTCCAGCCTGCAGCTGCCCCATGGTCCCCACTTGTTTCCAGACCAGGCTGACCACGGACTGGTAAAGGTGGGAGAGCAGCAGTTATTCTACTCCTCCTGGTCCCTGGGAAGAGCTCAGAAGCCTCTGCTCCCCTTATGTTCTCCAGATGGGGGTTACCGTAGTCTGGGGAAGGTACAGAGAGAGCCTTTTCCTGACACTCCTCCCAGTCCCCAAGAGAAGTGAAACAGCAGCTCCTCCCCCTGACTTACCTACACTGGTTTAGCCCAGTCTGGGGAACATAAAGGGAAGTTTTCCCTGCTGCTGCTCCAATCCATTTTCTTCAGACCGGGATAATCCCAGATTACCCAATGTCAATCATATTGAATGGAGAAAAAACTGTAGAGTAGTTTGCAAGTGAGGTAGGAGAGAGAAAGATGAGAACTTGTTTAAAAAAGTATTGTTTTTAAAATGCAGATTATTTATGTAAACTAAGCCTTTTCTTCAGCACACCAAAGGCTATTTCAGTCAAAATCTTGCAACTGGAAATTATTGTAAGAATGGCCAATGGTAATCTTCAAGGAACTTTTTCTCTAACTTGATTTTAAGGTGAATTAATATTATAACATCTTAAGGGTTTCATAAGCAGTGAAATATAATATATTTGGGGACATACTGAATGTCTGCCTCAACTGAGGCTCTGAAATAGAGGTGGATTTCTTAACAGAAATTTCTTAATAAAATCAGAATCGTAAGGCTGGAAGGGGCCCTGAAGGATCATCAGGTCCAGCCTCCTGCATAAGCAGGAAAGACATCAGGTGACTGTCCAGTCTTCTCTTGAAGACCTCTAGGGTAAATGACTGCACCACCTCTGAGGGCAGCTTGTTCCATAGTCTGGACACCCCGGTTGTAAAGAAGTTTTTCCTAGTGTTCAGCCTGAAACTATCTTCCAGGAGTTTGTGGCCGTTGTTTCTAGTTTTCCCCCAGGGTGCCTTGGTGAACAGTTGTTCACCGAGCCCCTGATGTATGCCTCTGATATAGCGGTAAGGAGCAATCACGTCCCCTCTCAGCCTTCTTTTCTTTAGGCTGAAGAGTCCAAGATCCCTCAGCCTCTCCTCATATGGCTTGCCATGCAAGTCCCTGATCATGCAGGTGGCCCTTCTCTGGACCCTCTCAAGCTTTAGCACATCCTAGTTGAAGTGCGGCACCCAGAACTGGATGCAATACTCCAGCTGCGGCCACACCAATGTTGACTAACGTGGGAGAATCACTTCTTTGGATTAACTGGAGATGAACTGATTGATGCATGCCACAGTTTTATTGGCCCTAGTGGCTACTGCATCACATTGCCGGCTCATATTCATGTTGGGGTCTATTGTTACCCCCAGATCCCTTTCATTTGTAGTGCTGGTCATGTTAGCGATGTCCAGCCTGTAGGTGTGCTGGGGGTTCTTCCTTTCCAGATACAGCACTTTGCATTTCCCTACGGTGAACCTCATCTGGTTTCATTCTGCCCAACATGCCAGCCTATCTAGGTCTGCTTGTATCTGCAGCCTATCTGCGGGTGTGTCCACACAACCCCATATCTTGGTGTCATCTGCAAACTTGGCCAGTGGGCCTTCCATCCCCTCATCCAGGTCACTGATGAAGATATTGAACAGCATTGGGCCAAAGTACCAACCTTTGGGGTACACTGCCACCCACATCTTGCCAGGATGACACTGATCCATTCATTTGGACTCTTTGTGTCCTACCCCACAAACAGTTTCACACCCACTTCATGGTCCTGCAGTTGAGCCCGATACTGATCAGAAAACTGGAAGATACCTTGTGGGATACCAGGTCAAAGGCTATCTGGAAGTCGAGGTATATGATGTCAACCGCTTTTCTCTCATCCAGGTGACAAGTCACCTGATCATAGAAAGAAATGAGGTTGGTCAGACAAGACCTGCCCACGATGAAGCCATGCTGGCTGTCATTCAGTATCGTGCCTTCTGCATATTTGTCACTTACAGCCTCTTGGATGAATGTTTCTAGGATTTTCCCTGGAATAGAAGTTAAGCTAATTGGCCTGTGGTTTCCTGGGTCTTCATGATTCCCCTTCTTGAAGATAGGCACAACACTGGTCCTCTTCCAGTCCTCTGGGATTTTTCCAGAGGCTCATGATTTTTGAAAGACCTTTTCCAGGGGCTCTGCGATTACTTCAGCACTCCTCCCAGGAGATGTCTGGATAGTTGAAGCCACTCTTGACAACCATGTCCCTTGCACGCACAGCCTCCATTAGTTTATGGGTGAATGCTAGATCACGTTCCTCCTCCTGGTTAGGCAGCCTGTAGTATACACCACCTACAGTCAGGTTTCTCTCGATGCGCTTCCCCCAGAGCTTGACCCAGAGGGTTTCAAGCTGTTCTTCTTTGGGGCCAACATTGGCCTATAGGGAAGTGTACTGCTCCTTCACACAGAGGGCAACACCCCCACCTCTCTTCCCTACCTGATCCTTTCTGTGAAGGATGTAGCCCTTTATGGGTAAGCTTCAGTCATGAGAGGAGTCCTACCAGGTCTCTGTGATCCCTACTAGATCATAGTGCCCAGTGGAAAGCAGGAGGACTGGTTCCCATGCCTCTACCATTGGTGTACAGGCACCTAAGTCCTTCTACTGAGGTCACGGGCTGCCTGTTGCATTGAAGGGGAGCTGTTTTCTCAGCTTCCATAAGAGCGGCTTGGCTTCACTGTCAGTGGAGCTTTCCTGTATATTATTCCCCAGGTAGGCTCCAGTTAGCATTTCCCCATCCCCCAATGATCTTAGTTTAAAGCCCTATCTAAGAGATCGGCCATCCTGGCAGAGAAAAAGCAAGCCTGGGAATAAAAATTCAGGAGTTGGCTGGACACTACGAGCTGAGGACTGAACACAGATACTGACTTCATGGCTTGTTACAATCTGATTGCTCTCTCCATTCCACAAGCGTTAAATGCACTCTCCCCTTTTTAATGGTCTTGATTTTCCATGAATTAAGTCATTGTTTCTTTTGCAGTTTTCTTGTCTGTTACCTATTCCTGTGAATGCATCTTCTCCAATATCATGCCCCTGCAAACTATTTTAGCTGTAGCTGTGCCTGCTTTTTCCTTAGTCCCAAAGAACAATGCATTGCATTCAAAAGCTTGCCTATATTTAAGTCTATCCCAACCATGCAGTTGTTCCAATAAAAGATATCACCCACAAAAATCCATTTCTCTTATGGATTTCTTAAGACATTTCAAGTAATCTCTTTCCTTGTATTTTACATTTTTAATGCCTTATGACATTAAAAATTATTTGAGATATTTTGCTTGAAATCTTATTAGCTATTCATTCTTCATACTTTCATTCACTGATATAATTTCATCAAAATATTATATCCGCTACCTGGAAAATACGTTGTAAGGACTGTAAGCAAGGTTGAGGCACAGCTAATATGGAGAAGTGTGACAAAAGACGTGGGCTAATCTCACTTCTTCCACCACTTGTAGGAGCACAGTTTGCTACCAGGGAGACATCCTGGACATTCTGTGAGAATTAGAAAAGGAAAAAATTCAGTGATAGCAAGTGCATTAGCATTTCAAAACTCCAGAAGTAATAAAAAATGTTCCCACTTGAATGTCTGTATTTTGTTTCAGCTGAAAGTATTGGGACTTATATACTTCAATGGTAAGAGGATCAGACCCCTAGGAAATAATCTGTAATCATGTGGTAGGTTCTGTATAAACACTGGCAAACTCTACAGTTTCATCGTAGTATACTAAAAATGTTAGTGATTTCATGGTAAATATCCTAAATTGTATTTAAAAAACAGGCCACATTCTAATTATTTGAAAAATGACAAAAAAGAAAATGACCTGCAATCATTATTTAAAAAAGAAACACCTCTCCCCGCAAGCAAAAGTAAATCCCACAAACAAACAAAAATTGAGGTATCCTTTTTAACAATTAACCAATGACAGGAAATTAGACTACAGTCATGGGTAGTTGAACTGTTTTAGAATGCATAAATTTCTGATTAGTCTGCTGAAATGTTTCTAGTTTTTACATAAAGTTTCTCTTTGATGATAGGTGAAAATATACAGTTATCTTTTGGACTAAGAAATTGCACTTTACCTATTTCTGAATTAACAGAAACAAGTGAAATGAGAGAGAGAGAGAGAGAGAGAGAGAGAGAATGCAAAAAAAGAAAGGGGGAAAGTTCAATGAAAAAACAGGTTAAAAATATAGATGTATAGGAAGAAAAAGAACAGTTTCTGTTAGCTTTGCAAAATTCTCATATAATGTATAAAGTTATGTCTATATATACTCCCTGCTCAGCTCCTATTCTTAACCTGTCTTTCCTTCTGAGTATTTATTTCTGAAATAAAAGCTGCTGTTATGTGCACCCTGTTTCAGAAAGTAAGTAGAACTGGGGGATCAGAAGGAGAAAGGGATGGAAGGTAGAGAACTTACTCAGTGTGTGTCATGTGCAGAGAAGTAGGGCTGTGTGAAGCTTCGGGTGCTGATTTGACTCAGAGGAGATTTGGCCTGATTTGGCAGTTGAAACTCTGAATCCAGATCAAATCAGGAGACCAATAAAAAGGTCCAAAAAGATTTGAAGCTCTCTGAATTGATTCAGAAAAGTTTCAGAGAGCTGCAGAGATTCGAGCAGTCTCTGCTCACTGCCACAGGGAGCTGGACCTAGACTCTGTGCTGGTAAGTAGGGGGCAGCGGAGGGGGGCTGGAGGAAAAGGAGGGGACCATGGCGGGGACCCCCACCAGGCCCCATCCCCTGCCTGCCCCACCAGCCCCCCTGAGTGCCCCCAATTTCTGCCCGCTCTCCCAGCCCCACCATGACTGCCCCACCCAGCACCAAATTACTGAATCAAATCACTGTCCCCCGAATTGGCTGAACTGCACAGGCCTACAGAGAACCCCGAGTGCAGAGGTGTAACTAGCAATTTCTATGTTCTGGGCAGAGATTGGAAAAGGTGTTGCACTAAGCACTGGAGAGTGGAGGCAGGCAGAGCTTGTACTTCTACTACAGTTATGCTACTGTCTAAGAGGGGCAATTAGTGGTCGGGGTAGAAGAAAACATAAGAAAGAAAAACAGCTTGAAGCAGAAGATAAGATTCTTTGGTTGTTGTCTTATATCAAGACAGCAACAACAGGGAGATATAGGGATTGTGGGATTATGGTGGTGGTCAAGGTCTGTGAACAGCCAAAACTCCAAATCTAGGAAGAAGAAAGTTTGGTCAGACAAGAGCTGTTATCAGAGACAGGTAGCTGTTCTCTCAGTGCTTTTTGTTCTCATACTCAAGCTATTATTTGTCAAAAAAGGAGCTATGGATCTCATCCATGTGCATGTGTGTGTGAATGGTCTCAATATCAGGGAAGAATTCAAACACATAGCTATATTTAAACATATACTTAAATCCTATTGAATTAATCAAAACCAAAGTTAGGCAGTGGGGGTGTGCAAAGTGGGCCCTATTTGATTCAGATTTGGCTCGAACCAGGGACAGTGATTCAATTTGTTGATTCGGATCACTGTCCCTGATTCAATTCGGCTGAATCTGAAAATTCGATGCTGATTCGGAGAATCAGGGATTCAGACACAGACACAGCTTTAATTTTTTTTTCTCCATACCTCAAGGTACTAGCATGATTTGTGAATGCTGCAATGGTGGGGTGGATGGAGCATCCCACAGGAGTTTGTGGGGGGTCCCTCCATGTGCTCAGCGGTGAACCTGGATTTGGACTGTAAGCACTTCTGATTTACTTCCGGGTCTGCCAGGAAGCAGGCAAGGCCCCCCCAGCTCAGCAATCAGCCTTGGGGGGGCCCCAGGTGCCCCCCCAGACCCAGGAGGCACCAGTTGTTGAGCCGGGGAGTGGAGGGGGGGCCCCTGCACGCTCCCCGGCAGACCCAGAAGTGGACCAGAAGTGCTTCTGATCCACTTCCGGGTCTGCTGCCAAGAACACTGGGGAGTCCCCCACGTTTTTGTGGGACACTCCCTGTGCCCCAGCATCACAGCATTCATGACCCACCTGCTACCTAGGGGTATGTAGAAAAAACATTTAAAGCTATGTCTATATCTGAGTCCCTGAATCTTTCTGAATCTCTCTGAATTGATTTGGAGGGTTCCAATTTGATTCGGAGAGATTAAAGGGTCCTCTGATTCGATTCGGAGATCCAGCCACTGAATCGGGCCGAATCTCTGCTGAATTGAATCAGGGACCAAAGCTTCACACAGCCCTATTAGGCATGTGCTCAAATACTTTTCAACATGGGTCAATGTATATAAATAAACAATGATCTTTATTTTCCTTGAAGAAACTGCTTAGGTTTCTGCACCTAAAAACTTCATCCTTTCAGTGAACAAACAGGAAATTAAGGGTCATATACTTTTCTGCTCGTATGCCACAGATTTAACTTCTGAAAAAAGCTAGTTATCAAAACTGATAAAAGTATGAAATCCACACCATACCTTCCATGCAAGTTGTTTACTGTTATAAAATCCTCCTAAATCTAAAAATTGCCTGAGTGATTCAAGTGGAGGCTGGGCACCATACTCCTCTGGCATCGGCATGTTCAGGTCATCAATGAACACTAGCACCTTCGAATAAATACAACAACACTGAATACCATATCTAAACTATGTTGAACTTTATTTTTCTTGTATTGTAATAGTGAGCATTAACATAAAATGATGGGAAGTCATGCAAGTAGCTATGAATCCACTACATTCTTGTCTTTCTAAAACATATAACTTGTGTATCTACTGAAGTATTTTTTCATAGCATATATCATTATCTGAACAACCCAGGTTTGATGAGACTCTACAAATAGTTGTAAACAATAGCCAAGATGCCTGATCTCATTCAAATAGAGATAGGGACAATGTTCTCATTTTAACCTAGATCAGCTTCTCCAGCAATATAATCTTTAGAAAGTGGTTCTGAGGAAAGAAGCCTCTCATTCTTCTTGCATACATGGGTGAGGTTGGTAGATTACGTTAGATTTCCAATAGCAAAAGATGACAAGGGAAGGACCACTACCATGAAATAACTTGAGACAAATTAATATTATGTATGTATGCATTTAGTTAGTTCTTATTTGGATGTAATGTATTACATATTTGTGAATGATGTCCAAGGAGAAAGCAATGGTACTGGACAGCAACATCTCATTGTTGGAGACTCATCAGAATATCTAGCTAATTGAGTAGCCTGGCTACATGAAATGTCTTGGAAGTTCTGTAGTTATTTTTGTAGGTACTATGATTCTTTTAAATTGATTACATAAAAACAAGGTTATTAATATATTATTTATGAAAAATGCCGTCACCCAATTCCCACCCAGAATTATGAACTACTGCACTAAAAATTGAAAGCAAGCACAATAGTAGAGGAAAGATATTAACCCAAGAGTTCTAAAGTACACAACAGTAGTTAGACAAAAACACCTCTGAAATGGGTTATGCAGTTCCGTTATCCTTTTAATTTCTTTTAGCACTGCCAATTGTACTAGAAGAGATCAGTACATTTACCTGTTTGGATTTTGGAGCACCCAGAACGTCTTTACTTTTTAGGATTAATTTCTGAAGAATCCATGTCTGGGTTTGAGCAGCACTGGTATGGGCACCAAACTGTATTTTGGTAACAATCACACCCTGGTTACTTTCAGATGATGATGTGATATTACTAGTTGCAGAATATGGCCTTTGGATCAACTTCAAAGCTGTGTCAGAAAATAGAGTCAGCATTGTATCTGACTAAAAGTGGATCTTATTGTACTCATTATTCCATTATGTTATTGATATTCCACTATGGTTATTAAACCTACTAATTTCATTTAACAATGTTACCAAAAATCTAATTCTTCTCGAAGTACATATTTCCTTTATATAATGATAGTATTTGCATGTGGCTTCCTGGATAATGATCATAATATGCCCATCTTCAAAATAAGCATTCCTATTAGATTTCTGATTAAAAGGTACAGCAAAATAATAAAGGTCATCTGAAAAAAGTCACTCATACTTGTCATATTCATGAAACACTTCTTACAAGGTTATTTAAAGCAAAGAACATTTCCTTAAGCTTTCTGAGTGACATGTTTTGTCATAAGAGTGCATTGAGGCCCTGGGCTGGCCACTGGATTAAAAAGACAGATAAGAAATGGTAATTATTTCAACCTTTACTACCAATAAAAGTAAGAAATCAGATATTTAATACAGTTATAATGTCTCATGTAATGAAATACATGGATAATTTAACATTTCTGCACATGAGCTAGCCAAGGAAAGTTCACTTGTCCACAGGTAGAGCACCACAGTGTTATACCACTGCTAATAAACATGTTCTTCCTTTCACATTTTGATTGAAAATTACTGATACTTTTTGAACAAGGGTCACATATGGCACAAAGGGTTGGCCTGGGTTGTGCACTGTAAATGGCACACATGCTGGACCAGCTCTGCATGCTGGCTCTAGGGTTGGTCTGGATTGGGTCATCCTCAAGCAAGAGGTCAGGGTCAGTCTGGCAGGGTGCCACATGCAGCACATGCCCTGTACTGGCCCTTGGCCATGTGCAGAGAATATGGCCAGTCCAGCCCTCTGTGCCATGTGCATCATGTGTGGTCCTAGGGCTTGCTGTATATGCAAAGCCAGTACAGGATGCACTGCAAGTAGCGTATGGACTGGGTTGGCACACTGGCTGCGTGTGGCACCCCTCTGGACTGGCCCTGCACCCTGGCTTCAGAGCAACCACTGCATATAGTACGTGCCCCGGACCGACCCATGTCACATGCAGTGCCAGGTCCAGCCTGTATGCTGCGTGCAGTGTAAGCCCTGGGGTGGGACCAGTGTGTATTGTTCATGCAGTGCAGTGTGGACCGACAAACACAGGCACTGCACGCAGCACATGGGTTCAGTCCTGACCTGATCTGACCTGACCTGCAGACTAGCCCATTGACACTTCTGTCCTAGAACAAGCGTTCCAATATAAACAAATGAGCTTTTATAATGTAACAGATACTTTATAGTTTTGAGTTAAAAGTATTTGCCTGGGTAGCTCAGAAGTGTAGTTGAAGTATGAGATAAAACACTTTTCCTTTTACTTCTGCAAGAGATAAAGGACATTTACTACTGATCTACTATCAAATACCCATATATTATTAACTAGCCAAAGTACGTGGCTTCGCACGGGCTGCAGTAACCAAATTTTAATGTTTTATAAAAAAAATATTTTCATTCTATCTGATTTCTCTCTACTAATAATGTGTTTAGTTTTGTACCTTATTTTACTTGTGTGATACAGCCTGACACTGTGAGCTTTTGGTCATACCAAAAACCTATAAAAGTTGAACATTTAAATGTATTAAACAACTGAATTGTGAGGTATAATTATTTATTTACTTTGTAAGACTTTAGCATAACACTGAGGATTTCACGACATTTTTCTATCCCCGTTTATGATGGTGTTTGATGCTTTTTTATCCACGTAGAGCTTCAGGATAGACAGTGTTGCATGTTTTGCCATCTGGTGCCAAGATGAAAAGGTTTTTGCCATTGCCAGTTGTGAACTCTGGAACAACCAACATAGAGTTGGCTATGAGAAAAGCCTGGGCATCGCAGGTTGAGGCCAACAACTTTGAGTGACTGTCCCTGTGCCTTGTTGATGCTTATGGCAAAACTGAGGTGGATGGGGAACTGGAACCATTTAAATAGACATGGCAGGTCAGGAGAAATGATTGGAGTGCGTGGAATGAAGACATCCTGTCCTGCTGCATGGTCAGTCATTATGGTGGCTTCAATGACATGTGGCATGAGCTTTTTGACAGCCAATCGTGTTCCATTGCAGAGTGCTGGTGGGTCCAGATTCCTGAGAAGAATGATGAGTACACCAATCTTGAGCTCCAGGTTGCATGAAGGCACACCTGGTGGTTCGAGAAAGTTGAGAAATTCTGTTGGGTAGTTGACTGTCTCACTGGTGTCTAGGACAGTGTCCACTGACTTGTATTTTTGCACAGTGCCAGGCAATTGAGAAAGAAGGTCTTTGTTTATGGTATTGACTGCATCCTTTTTTGGTGCCAGGATGGCTCTTTGGCGTAGCCACTTGTGGTCATGAAAGTGATATGCAACATTTGGAAAAACTGCCTCCTTCAGTTTTTGAAGTGTTGCAACTGCTTTCCCCAAGTTGTTCACTGAGATAGTTTCATCTTGATTCTCAGAAATTGTAGTGAAAATAGATACTTTTCTCTATGTTTCTTTG